GTCATTATGCAAATGTCCTGTTTATAAGATTGAAACCTGCAGTCAGCTGAGACTGAAGACGTCACTTGGATGAGTGACGAAACGTTTCTCCCACAAAACGCTACGTCCAGATGAACAGAATCAACTTTTGGAGATTTACTTACCTGGATGATTGAGCATGCATCAAGACGAAATTCTGGGATAGGTTTGGCCACGAAGGATACACCCGACCCATCCTTCAAATTTTAGGAGGTGACTAGGACGCATTTGTTGGCTGCACTTGGAGCAGCCTTCGTCGCCTGGCTGTGACATAATCGGCCTTCAAATGCAGCCTCTGAAGGATGCAGCCCCTTAAGAATGGGAATCACTCAAGTTCATATGTATGTATGATAGCAGTTGAGCCAATGCTTTTGGCAATATGGCGTACATTATACTTTACAATCATGTTTCATGTGTAAGTTGATCAGGATCAACCAAACTGATATTAAGTGACAAACACATACTCTTTTTCTCCTTATGTCTGTCCATAGACGCCCCCCAGAGACATCCCTGGAACGACTCACAAGGCTTTGTTCTACCAGACGCGCCTTTCTGGAACTAACAGGTTTAAGTTTGTGTTCTCAGCAGATCCCAAAAAAGTTCTTGGAGTTGTGGATGTAAACGGTTGTTATAAACTGACCCTGCTTACTGAAGGTGACGAGGTTGACATGAGAGTTGAGTTTGAGCTCAAATAATTAAAGAAGTTGTCTAAATAACGAAAATAAAAAAAGGCATCTGAGTTGACTGAATGCAGATATCCGATGTAACAACTTCTTAAAGTCATAACTCAGAGTCACTTTGTGATTTAAATGGAACAAATCTGATCTCAAACCATTTGGAACCTCAACATGCTCCCTGTTGTATCATTCTAAGGTTACAATGTGTCCATCCATAAATCTTTAGTTAAAGGCAGCTTTGAAATGAGTTTTATCTCATTTGAGATTTTGTTAGTATTCAGTTAATCATTGAATATTGTGAGGTTGGACCCATGCATGTTTGGTTTGGGCCAGTGTAACCTCAGATTGAACCCAAAATTAGAACTATAAGCTCATACAACAATCTAGCTATTAGCATTTGTACATAAGAATAAAGGCTTTGTACTTCTTTCATTGTGTTTCTTGTTTTGTCATGAGTGGTGTACTTCAAAGAAAGTTGAAAACGGCCAGGCTCTGTTAGCATGAGCTAGCTCGACTAATCCCCGTCGGAGATGACGGTAAGACGACAAACACGTCAGAGGAAATCTGTAAATCCTATAAAAATAAAAGGCAACACCAGCGCTGTAAAGTAGTCGAGACTAATGTGAGATGAAGTTTTCTGATGAGACATTATTAATATTCGGCCAGTGTAAAAGGTTCTAATGGAGCCGTGGCACGTACGCACTCGGGGTCGACATGTATACTCTATAAGCTTAACATAACCTGCTAACCCATCCACTGCTCCGTAGTACACCCCAGCTGAGCCTTGATGGAAAGAACAGAGTGACGCCAAATGTGGAAGCTGGAATAAAACATGTTTACTGCACAGGTGTTGTGACATCACACTCACTCCAGCCAAACACAAAGAAGTGCTGGTGTGGAAGCTGCATGCAAAGACTGTACATGTGTACTGTGTATAACTGCATGTTCCAAGATTAGAATGTAATGGACTGCCATATTAAGTCTTATTTTACTGATTTAGGATCCAAATAAACATTTATTTTAAAGCCTTTTTGTTTCTTTGAAATTTGCAGATTGCAGCAGAAACTGATTCACATACAAAGTATAACATGACCCCATAGAGACGCAGTCATGTTCTGTTCCTGCCTCGAAGGTTAAAATAAGATTTAGCCAGTCTGACCTTTATTAAACCTTCAAGCAGAGCATTAATAAAGCTTCATATAAGCACACGCTGTCTGCTCCTACAGCAGAGCCCACGGCTCTCTGTACAGCCGCAGCGTTGCAGGGACAGCCTGGTCGCAATGACACTAAAACACTAGGTGGGGCATGGAAATGGTTTTCAAACAGGGGTTAGTGTGTGCTGCTGCTGATAGGTGTAAGAGAAAAGGCAGCATGTGCACACACTGGAAGTAAACATGTTTAAGAGATCAGCCACACAAAGGACGCAAATGAGAAAGAATGAACGAGAGCTCAGACAGCTGTATTCCATAAGACTTGATCAAGTCATGGCTGTGTTGTTAAAACATGTTTGTAGCGTAAATTTGTTCCACGGTTACTCAGGAACAGCCCAATCAATGCACAAAGACAAAGCTAGAATCAATGAACACAAACACTTTTGAATCAATGAAATATTGTCAAAATGATATTTACAGAGAACGCACTGATTTCGTTTGTTAAACACGCAGCCAGGACCAGTGTTTCGGTCTTCCTGAGCGTCCCGGCCCATAGTCATATTCACTTGCTCCAGAGCAGGGCGACAGCTTTGCATATGCCCACGTCGTTGTAGTTGAAGTAGCAAAGACCAGTGAAGGTGATCGTGGACAGGAGGAAGAGAGCCGCGTTGGCCATCTTGATCTTTGCGTCCCCGTGAACGTAGTCTGTCAACACCTGCCCGAGACCCCTGCAACAACACAGGCAGAGGAAAAGATGAGCAGCCAGTGAAGACAGAAGGCCTCCCTTTGCTTCAGCAGGGTTACACTGAAGCGCTCTAAATGACTGCACAGCACACATGGAAAATGTGCAACCAGTGTTTCTAAACTTGACCATGACAGTAATGCATCAACTACTGCCCCATAAACGTGCTGACGTTTCCACGCACGACACAACATCTGAATGAACTCTGTGCACACGTGATGACAGCCGTCACGTGCACAGAGCTCTCGCTCTGCAGCCTGACACACTAATACTGGATATTCCAGCTGGGACTGAAATAGGGCTGCTCAATTAATCGAATTTTAATCTCGATTACGATCTGGGCTTTCAACGATCGTTAAAAATGACTGAGCCGATTATTAGCCCCTCCCTCGTGCTTTACTCTGGCGCTGCTCCGTGTGGCAAATCGAGCGCACCTCTCTGCATGTCGAACACGTGTCACAACAATTAAGAGGACCCGAGGGAAGCTCGGAAAGCTAAGCAGAAGTTATTTGGAGAGGAGAGTGACGGCCGTTGGTTGAAAAGAGGTAAAAACCTTCAGTGGTGTGGAAACATTATGGGTTCAGTCAGACGTGGATTAAGTAGACACAGTGTGTAAACTTTGCTACGGTGTCGTAGCTGCACCACAGAGCAACACTGCAAAGCTCACTAAACATAGATGTTTACATTTTTCATTGATTTCTTATATTGCAAACATTTGCACTGTTATCAGTATTTGCACTATTTTATATTATTTTTGACAATCTTTAAAGTCATTATTCAACACGTTGTTATTGTTAAATAAATATCGTCAAATAATCGAGATCTCAATGTCAGTGAAAATAATCGTGATCATCATTTTTGCCATAATCGAGCTGCCCTAGAGTAAAATGCTGCTGCAGTTGTCCAAACCTTTAATTTTTTTAAAGAGATTTGAGGTCCACATTATAAAATATGATTTCTGAGCTGCAAAATCTTCATCCAGTGACAGTCACAGTAACAGCTCGTCTTATGTTTGAGCCATTCAGTCTCTAATTAACCAAGCTAGCTAAGCATAAGTGTCTCCAATTTGCATAAAACAACTTATATTTTCTGTTGTAATACTTATGTGACCTCCAGGGTAAGTATACCATTTAAATGTACATTGATAAAAACCTGCATGATGGTCAATAAACATAGAAACATTGTTCGTGTCAATCATACACAATCACTGTACCTAATAAACCAGCTCTGTATTGAGAGCTGAATGAGGAAATATTGTTTCTCTGTCTCAGTCATAAATGCAGCCTGGACAGTGTCCTGGTATTGTGACAGACTGGCGAGAGCTTATATAGCTTTCAGGAAGTGAAAGCTCTAAAAAAGGACAGCTTAGCGTTACTGTTCAAATAAAACACAGGCGTCAGGAATATTTTACCTGAGGCTTGCGAATATTTGCAATAACATTTTAGAAATAAGTGAAACCAGGGATCAGCTGACTGCTAGTCTTACCAGTGTCCGTGAAGGGTCAGGGCAGCAGCCAGAGAGTAATCGATGACAGGACCAGGGTTGAAATAAGCGACAGGGCCCATGGCCAGCAGCAGCACGCTCAGCATTCGCTCTGCCGTCCAGTGCAGAGAGGCCGCTTTGGAGGTGGAACTCGCTGTGAAGCAAGATAAACTGCAGACCATCAGAAGGCCGAACAATGTGAAGCTCTGAGCAGACTTCAATCTGACTCAGTCACATGCATCTCAAATTCTACACATGCCACTGGAAAGACCGGGTCTCCTGCATATTAGGTTTGGCTACTTCACTGAGCCGCTTGTGTCTTTACTGAACATCTTTCTGCGATTATTTTTTCAGTTTTTTGTATCTAATGTTGCACAAATTGTAGATAACAAGTATGGTCAGTAATCCATCAGCATCATTGGCAAGCAGTGAACTTGGCACCAATCTGAGGGTGACAACGTCTGCAGCTCTGCTCTCACGTTCAGTTTGTCTAAGCTGCACAAACCAGACGTGGAGCTGTGACACTGTCCTTGTATCAACATCCAAGTAAATGCAGTTTTAAATGATGATTTTATGGTAAAAAATAATAAAGTCATCATTAATGCTCAAAAGCCTCTAATGTGGCTGAAGCGGGCATATTTCTCTTATCTCTCTCAGCAGGACAGGGAAACTGATTGTTTCTTCACTATAACAAAGACTGGAAACCTTTCTGTTATAATAAGATAAGCTGGAAATCCACATTGTTACAACCGATGTAGAATTTAAGGGCGATACAATTTAAACACCTGAAATTGTGATATATTGGCCAAGGATTTATTTTCTTTATCTTGCTTTGCACGTATTAAGTGCCTTTGTTGAAAGACTCACGGTTGGTGTTACGCAGCGTTACAAATGTGAAACTGATCAGATATAAGGACTGGAGAGACAAAAGAGCAAAAGAAAAACTCTGACAAAAAGAAGGAGGACTATTACTCACTAAAGTAAGAAAAGGGGAATCATATTCTGGCTCAATATGAACGTATTTTTACATTTGAGCAAAAACAGAAAGAAGGCGCCTTCATTCTGGACCCACATCGTGGGTAAACCACATGACCTCCAAACAGGCTAAAATGTCACCGCCTGTCTTCATGTGGAAAAAAACGCTGTGTGTACACGTGAGGGCGAAACCATGAAGATCCAAAACAGGAACCAAAGCGATCCTGCTCCACTTCAGACACCTGTACCTGCTGAGCGGTTGCCAGGTTCGTGACCCTGACCACGCCCGACTGTGACCACGATCGCATCAGGGTTGTTCCAGGCTCAGTGATGACTGCGTGTGACACAATCGGCCTGCAATGGCGCCTCCTTTCGCCCTTGGGGTGTAACGCTCCATTCTGTTTCTCTCTCGCCCTCCATTAAGATTATAGTTAATGCAAAACATGTCTGAACTAGCCATTTTCTGCTCTTGGAAAGCTAACCAGCTCCTCAGATGCCAGGACTGCCCCACTGGACCTCCACTGGTGTTGAAATGTAATGTGTGTCACACACGCTACACTTACGTTGAGTCAAAAGTAGAACATGTGCAGCTTAGAAAGCTTATGTTGATTTAAGTGTGTCAGAGCTGATGACTGCCACAGAGGTTTCTGAGGTTGTGGTATTTAAATAATCTACGTGCACCTCTCGTTCTGTACAACACCTGCACACAGGGCGCTACGTCAACACTGACCCTTCAGATTCTGTGACGAATGAATCCTCGCCGTCAGCAGGTTCGGCTGCTCCAGGTGTTTGTGGGGTACAGCCAGCGGCCTGACCAGCAACGCGCTTTGATAGAACAGAGCTGAGGAGAGAAAACACAAAGTCACAAACACATCTGGCTGCTTTACTTTTCCTTTCCTCATAATGTTGTGCATGTTTTGTGTGTGTTCAGTTTCTAAATTTAAAAAAGGTACTTTCTGGATTTGCACAATGCTGAATTTCACCACAAGGGGGCGGTGTTTCACCAGGCAGTGTGTTGACATGTTTTCAAGTGTATGACGTCGCTCCTTTAACCTAATTATTTTTAAACTCCCATCTTTTCCAAGAAGCTTTGCCTTTACTCAAACTTCCAACCTGTTTATTTCCTGAACAGTCCCACATTTGTAAACAAAACGCAGTTGTGGGTCGCGGTCATGAAAAACCTGCCTAATCTTCTCTGCTAACTCCAAACAGCTTATTCTGCTGCCCTATGTGACTGGAGATCGGCTGTTAGCAGTTTGTTCTTGATGGTGTGGGTAGAGAGCCAACAGGCAAACCGTCCTGCAAACCTTTCACAGACTGCCTACGGTTTCCAAGGCTACGTTCACACTGCAGGCGAAAGCGCATCAAATCCGACTTTTTTGACCCTCTGCGACCCATCTATCCGATCATGGTGTGACAGTGTGAACGGCACAAATCCGATATTTTCAAATCCGATCTGGGTCACTTTCGTATGTGGTGCTGAATCTGATACATATCTGATGTTTTAGAAAGCGACTGCTGTTTCACGGTCACGTCGCATTAAATCCGTCTTTTACGTCACTGACACAAGACAGACGCCGATTATCAGCGCCGGAGAAGACATCGCGAACGCTTCCTGGCCATCCGGTGAAACTGTTGGGAAGACAGCGTTGGAGAAACGTGAACATTTTATTTGTTCTGTATAATCTGCAGATTCTGACAGAAATCTGCAACTATCCTTTGAAGCACCGCTCCTCTAAAACAGCAATAAGGATCATTATTAGGCCATATGTAAATAACAAAATAACTTTATAACTTAAAGCAAAGTTGGGAAACGTAAAGTCCGAAACAAGTCTTTATATTAAGACCATCAGTCAAACATATTGTTTGCTCTGGGTCTAAACAGAGCGCGTTGTGTGTGACGTCTTCTTTTGCGCATGCGGCCGCTTTGAGCGTTCACACTAGAGCGCGTTTGCTGTCACGTTTTATTTGTAGTGTGAACAAGCAGACAAAAAAATAAATAAATCGCATTTGATCAAAAAAATCGGAATTGGGCTTTAAGACCTGCAGAGTGAACGTAGCCTAAGTGGTACGGTGTGAGGAAACTCTTTTTGTGGTGTCGTCGTCTAATTAGGACACCCCTGATAGGTGGAACATGGCCTTCAATGGTACCAGGGCTCACTGCAGATAACACTGCATCTTAGTTTGCCCTATGGCATGGACCCTACACAGATCAGTTAAACGTGGTGTGGTTGGAGCAGAAACCAACTACAAGAGCAGTGTCCATGCTCGCAGGTGCTGCTAATCAGGCATCTGATTGTCATTGCAAGGGTTCCTTGCTCAACACAAAAATGTATTTTCCTTACAAATATGGTACTATTAAAGGTGAAATAACTGGCCTTCCAACATCTTCAATGCCAAGAAGCACTGTTACAAAGAAATAATGACCCAAACCAAATTTCCTTACTTTTGATGCCAAATGTATTTTTTAACCTGGTGTCCACACATGTGGACATCACATGTTCTCTTGTCTAGACCAAAATACTAAATTCTGCTCTACATGGGCCTGATATCCACTTACGAGGACATTATACTGCCACTCTTCTATTAAAATTTAAAACGAATGTCCTCATATGTGGATCTCATTTTTCTCATAAATAAAAAACAGCTATGACAGCTGGGATAGGCTCCAGCGCCCCCCGCGACCCTGAAAAGGATAAGCGGACGCGAATGGATGGATAAAAAAAACAGGTAAAAATAAAATGAAATAAATAAAACTGGTAATTCTTTGGTTTTACATTCATCCGGTCCCACTAAGCCCAAATAGCAAAAGGGAAATTAAAAATGCTGCCATGGAAGAGTCTTAGGAGGTTAAACAGAGTTATTTACAATGAGTAAATGAGTTTCCAACATTGCTTTCATTAGCCACTCTTTGTTGCAGTGCTTCCTACATGTACCCCATTTCAATACTGTACATTCTCCCAGAACACAACGAGTTTTAAACTGCGACACATCACACACAGTTAAGGTAAAATAATTAGTGTGTCTTTACTCTAAGAGACTGTCCTCTTCAAGCTTCATGGAGCATTGGAGCATTTCCCTTTGTGCACAGCAGCACTGTGTTAATGATCTGCTATGTCACGTAGATCTGAACTGAAAAATATAAATGAGGAACTGAAAGAAAGCGTTGTGTTTTTAATTGAATTAAATAATAAATGCTTTTTTCCTGGCACAAAGGGGGATGACAACAGCACGAACAGACAGAAGAAAATATTGGCGTCGGTCTGGAAGTTCACTGGTGCTTCTGTATTAGCTCACAGTCAAGATCAAGCATTTTAAGATCTGCTTCACAACGAACACTAGCGGAATTTAATCAGATATAGAATGAGCGTAATTATAAATATCACACACTGTATATAATTCTTTAAAACGTTTATATTTTCTTGTATTTGTTATGAACACATGAAGGGTATGTAATAGTGCGATTACAGCTGGAAATCATCCACACAAACAGCCAAACGAGAGCAGCCTTACCCTAACGCAAACTTTACTGTGCTCTTTAAAATGTCAAAGGAAGGGAGCCGATTTCTATTTTACTTTTTAAAGAGGCCTGTCATTGACTACAAATCTTGCAATTCAGGTCTTTTGCCTCCTTTTTCCTTCGAAGTAATAATTCTCCAACTTCTGAATAATCTTTGGTGGACAGTGCTGAGCGATAACGCCGCGGTCCGACAGCGATGTCACCATGCTAGCAAAGCGCCCTTTGGCACTACTCATACCTAGCTGGCGGTGGCCGCTGACAGGTAGCAATAAAGCGGCTAATACTGACAGCAGAATGCTTCAGTGAAACCGTGATCTTGAAAAGTCTGCAGCTGGCGCCATTTGTTCGTCTACGGCCAACACTCGACTTCACTTCCGTCAAATCGGCCTGCTGTCGAACTGCGGCCCTAAAGTAAGCACACATGCTTAGAACAGTCATAAACCCCGGAGAGAAGCAGCGCTACTCACGTTTAATTCCTCTGCGGCACACAGAACTCAACCTGACGACGGCCGCCATGATGAACAACCAACCAAGGTCACGGCAGTAACCCGGATGTAATCCTGTCGACGTGGCGTCACAAAGATTGTGGGTGTTCGAGATGATCACCTAATTATTTTGTATTTTAAATGAATACCAATAACTAATAATAGTATTATATGGTGTGCTATGTGGACTAAAACATTTGTTTCATTCCTATTAAGTGTCTGTTTTTAGAAGGTGGTCAACTGTGGCTGTACAAAACAACACAAGAAATAAATGAATCTAAAATAATTAATACGTTTTATTTATATTATGGTTTTATATGTTTACAGATATTTTCTTTTTTTATTAAGCTTTATATTTTGTGTTTTTGGTTTTTAAACTATGGACATAAAGTCTGACAATAAATATCGACTGATCGAATTGCAGCAAATGATATAAAAAATGTATGGGAAGCAATAAATCACTAATTGTTTTTCTTAATTAATTTCTTAATTATTGTAGAACCATCTGCAGTACCTCTTCGATGTCAACCTTTTATTTTGTTAAAACAATGATTTGCTGACTGACTGTTTTAGTCTTCCATACTCGTGGAACATCATCGGACGCATACAGTTAGAACTAAATGCCACCAGAGTACTCTGAGAAATGTCTGCAGAGACACATGCATGTTTGTGATCAGGTAAAGAAGACATAAATGTGCTTTTACTACGCTGACTCCACCACTACAATTCATTCATGCACACTTTCATAATTAAAAGGTAAATAAACAGCACCAGTGTTTTGTTTGTTGTTATTTTATTTTCTGACTTCTTTATGTGAAAATAAACTGTGAGTTCTCTGTAATCCTCTATTAAGCCATTCCTTCTATAAAACACGTCTTTACAGCTGGATGTGAAACATGCGTCTGTACGCTAATAACCGTACCGGTCGGTGTTTGGGGGGTTTGCTGCTCAACATGAAACATCTTTGCACGCGTCCTTTGTTGCGTCGCATTTAGTGCGTCAAACAACGCAAACAGGAAGCGCCGCCGCCTGCAGGGCACCGTGTGATTATCGCTGTTTCCCAAACCGCGCCGGTGGAAGAGAAGGTCACCTCTGTGCTTGAGGCAGAAGACATGGACGGCTTTGATAACTTGAGCGCGTCGGAGAAGGCAGAGGCGACGGAGCTGCAGCGCATGATCGCTGTCGAGCAGCAGAAAGCGCAGTTCCAGGCTCAGGTCTGTAAGAGGACGGGGGCTGACTGTCCTCCGACAGATGTAGTTCATTGCACGACGTGATCTGACGTCTTACACGTGCTTAGTTGACCGTTAATGTCTCTGTACAAGAGACCAGTTTGTATTAGAACTGGACATCACACAGCTGGAAGAACATCTGCTTCTTGTCCAGGTGTTTCCGCGTTGAAGAACACAGAGTTAATATATCCTCTAGATCCACATGCTGAGCTTTGTTAACCGTGGATTCAAAGCTCGGCGTAATCCAGTCAGTACTGTGTGTGGTTACATTGCAGCTTTAAAGATGATCATTAATCGTTTATTTGACCTTTGGTATCGCTGGGATAATTGGTGGATGTCCTAAATAAGGAGCAGGTTAGCTGAATCACTAAACAGCAGATATATAAGAAAATATGATGGATGTGGCTGTGGACAAATTTATTAAGGGGCGCTTCACAGGGAGCCGTGCTCTATAAGTGATAGACGGACCGAGTCAGTGAAGGAATTGGTAACCATCGTTGTGTGGAGAGCAGTGCACGTTAGTTGCTCCGTAGACTAGCATCCAGTGTGCCAGCTACACACTGGCCCCGGGGCCCGTTCTTCGTACCTCGCTTACTACATCCAAGATCAAATCATCGCGCCAACTCTGAGCTCGCTATTCCGGTTCTCCGAACACACCTGTTGTTGATGATTAGTACAGCTGGATGAAGTAATGTGAGATCACTGGGTGGCTTAACAGGGGCTACGCATCGATAGCAGAAACATTGATCGGCAACCCTTTGATTGGTCGGCGAAAATGTCGAAGGAGCGCGCTCAGTATTTTTCGGCAGCAGAGCAAGAACTCTTGATTGAGGGATTTCAGGAGTTTCAGAGTTTAATTAAAACGCAAGGGAACACTGCAAAGGCTGCAAAAGCAAGGAGAGAGGGCTGGCAGAAAGTTGCTGACAAATTAAACTCGTAAGTAATTTAATAATAATAATAATAATTGGATTTATATAGCGCTTTTCAAGGCACCCAAAGCGCTTTACAATGCCACTATTCAGTCACTCTCACATTCACACACTGGTGGAGGCAGCTACGGTTGTAGCCACAGCTGCCCTGGGGCAGACTGACAGAAGCCAGGCTGCCATATCGCGCCATCGGCCCCTCTGGCCAACACCAGTAGGCGGTAGGTAAATTTATTATATTACACTATATTATCCAATATTATATTACATTATATTATATTACATTATATTATTATATTACATTATATTATATTATATTATATTACATTATATTACATTATATTATATTATATTATATTATATTACATTATATCCTCTTTCACATTAGAGCCACAACAGGACCCACTAGAACATGGGAACAAGTAAAAGTGAAATATAAGAATATTCTACAGAATGGTAATATTTATCACTTATATTGCTTTTCGTCTCTTGGAAAGAGACCCTGAAATAATCTGTTTGTTTATAACAGCAACCAAGAAAAGGGCAGAGCAAAAAAAGACAGGTGGTGGTCCTGCACCCCCTCGTCAACAAGTTGGTTAAGTAAATAATACCCTCACGGGAAAATCGATATCTCTCTATGAGCACACTGTCGCGCTGAGCTAAAGGATCCTGTCTATCCCGCAATATACGCTGAATTCTGAAAACTCTCCTTATCAATCTTGCACCTTCCGCAATGGGTGGCTCGCGTATACGGACAGGACATGGCTGCGACAGGCTTCCCAAATCCACCTTCGCTTTTATAGCCGTGGTCTCTCATCTTGATTACACGAAGTAATTTACAATTACTACTCTGAAATATGAATTACATCTGTAATAATCACATACATGTAATAAAATGTTAATAGTACATTTCCCTTTTTTTAGGAAATGACCTGTATGTATCTGTGTGAAATCAATAAAAGGATCAGGTGCTGCATTATCTTTAGTTACATTGATAATATTTATTTATGGCGAAACAGTGGAAAAATATCGCTGTTGCTTTCGTATAAATGACGCGGGCATACCTGCGTGGCCGCGATCTAATCCTGTTTACATAAAGTAAACCTGCTCCCGAGCAGGTTTACGCTTACGGCTCTGTTGCTATGACAGCAAGTCCCGGATGAGCTTCGGGGAACCGAACGATCCAAGATCACGCGAAATTGTCAGCAATCAAATCCAGCTAACCTACTTAGCGAGGTATTAAGAACAGGCCCCTGGTAACCTTTCCCCCTCTCATTCTAAATAAACATTCATAGAAGCAGCTCTCACAACCATAACAGGCAGAAGACGTGTGTTTTTAACTCCATGCACATCAGTTCTGTGATTGATTTAAATAGTTTCCTGTACACACAGAAACATGCTGTCTTCTGGAGTCCGGCATGAATCTTGGTTACATGTGTTCAGTAATCAGATTTCAGCCTTTTCTTTTTTAATAAACATTAACTGGCATCAGCCGCGATGCTTCGACATTCTATAAATAACACTGAGCTGAATCAGTTCCCGTCTGTGTCATGTGGTTTGCAGGTGCACAGTTTCACCGACGTCTGCTGGGATAAATGTGTGGACACTCCGGGCTCAAAGCTGGACTACAGGACAGAGACGTGCCTGGTGAGCTGCGTGGAGCGATTCATTGACACCACCCTCAGCATCACCAACCGCTTCACACAGATGGTGCAGAAAGGCACTCAGTGATAACGCACCGCAGTCAGACTGTATTATGTTTTTTTTATTCCTAACTTGATGGGAGATGACACGAAGAAGACTTTGTGTACGTGGGTGTAACAGCTGGCGTTTGAGAGATGATGAGGAACTCTTATGGGGGGGAGGGGTGCAGTCATAAGATCAAACTGGAGGAAGGAAGGGAGAGGGAATCTGCAAGCCTGGAGAAGTCTGGTAATAATAAATCTTAAATGTTTCACCTGAAGAAACAATGTTGCCTGATGTTTTTTCCCTTTCATCCATCTGAAACTTCAAGATTATTATTTACTTTCCTAAACGACATCTATAGAGCTGAAAGCAAAGGCTGGGCAGCTCCTCGCTTGGCACCTTCTGCTTTCTCTTGATCTTCTCCATCGTTATGTTCTGATCAATAGTAGACGAGGAAAATGATAGAGAATTATAATTGTTATTCTGTCAGTGCATATCGCAGAGGAGTCTGAGTCCACTCAGTCTGCTTTAAATACTCGATTTCAGGACATTTCTCTACTCCTAGAGTTTTATGTGAAAAAGAGAGGATGTCAATAATCATTTCAGCACTCGAAAAGCTCCACTCAGGTGAAAATCTAGTGCCATCATAAGGGGCAGCCATTAGAAGGGAGGTGGGCTTAGAGGAGCAGTCTGGAGTTAGGAAGAATTCAAACACTCTTTTTTTTTTTATCCAAACAGCTGTGTAAATGTAATGGAGTTGTTCACTTAGAATCTAGCACCAAAAATTCAGTGTTTGCATTAATTATATGTTGAGTGACCTGCAGCTCCATGCACATGTTAAAAAGTAACTGCAAAGAGCTCATCACAGCAAACAGGCAGATTTTTCTGTACCGCTGCCAGGAGCTAGTCTGTTAGTGTTCCACCACATTAAATATGAACCAGCCGTTTTTTCATGCTTACATCTTTTTACTTCGAGTCATACGCTGACAGGGAAAATCCAGAGATTTACTTTGTGGTTCAACATACGTGCAAAATGAAGTCACTGAAGTACCGTGTAGATAAAATTAAATAAAACATAAATGAATGAATCACAGGGCTCTGTCCATTGTTCATCCACTTTTTCTGCAAACAAGTTTCAACGTAATGTAACATAGAAAGATTTCTGCACTTAATCCGACTGAAACTTGGTATTTAGACACAGGAGGAACTTTAAGAGCGAAGCGCTGCAAATCTGATCAAAGTGCCTGTAACAGACAAACCTTTTGTCTATCAATTAATAGATGTACATCAACAGTACATTCGTAACAGAAAATAAACATCACACTGGAGTGACTACTACTACTAATAATACTACTACTGCCTGTTATCCGTCTCAGGGTACGGCCACCAAAGTTAGCTCTCCAGAGGCTTTTCGGTTAGCTTGGGGGTTCCAGGAGCACACAGCACTGAGCTGGAACAGTGTTCATGATATCAGACGATAAAGGAGTGAACATGGAATAAATGTTTGCTGCATGAAACACTACAGTGTAAGACTGTTAACATTTTTAGCTGCCCTGAGTGCAGACTTGATGGACGTTTCGATCCATCCGTGAGGTGTGGCTGTGTGCTCCCCTGCAAAGTGTACCCGTCCCTCACTCTGGAACAGTTCTCTGGCATAGTGCCCCTGCTGGTAAGGTGTGAACAGGACAAAGGCTCCCAGACTGTAAGGATCCAAGCCCCACTTCTTCACCAGCCCCCCTGTCCACAAAGGCCTGATGTACTCTCCATGGATCTTCACCAAGTCCTCCAGGACCACAGCCATCAGCTCCCCATCATTCATGCCCTGGAAGAGGGCGGAGTCATCAGAGCAGGTGTAGGATGCCAGCAGTGCACCTGCGGATGTCCCGGGGAAGCTGTGGCTGGGGTAGTAGATGAAGCGAGCGGGACGGTCTGTGATGCTCTTCCCTCCTCTGATGCCCTCTTTATCCCAGAAGCGCTCCTTGAAACTAAGCACCACCTTTGTGGAGCTGGTGTAGTGAACTGAGCGCAGGGCCTCCATCTTGTCCCCAGAGAGAGGGGGCTGAAAGTCAATGAACAGGGTGGCCTTGGCTGTGGCAGTGACCAGGGTGTAGTCCACCGTTAGGTTAGTCAGGGAGTTGTGCTGGTCCTGATAGGTGATGGTCACATTTCTACCACCTGTCTGGTTTATGAGCTTGACCTTGGAGTTGAGGAGGATGGTGGCATTTAAGACCTGATAGAAAGCTCTGGGCAGGTGTTCAAAGCCATCAGTCACCTCAAAGTACCTGAAAGAAATTCAAGAAAACATCCCTTAATACACAATACTCCGCTAAAGCTGAACTAATCATTTATTTTCTATAAATTTGAATTATGCCAATCAGCCATAACATTGTGACCATTATGTGCCCCTTTCACTGCCACGGAAGCTCTGACCCATCGAGGCCTGGACTCCCCCAGACCCCTAAGGTGTGCTGTGGCATCTGGCACCAAGTTAGCGACAGATCATTTGATCCTGTAAGTGGCGAGGTGTGGCCTCCGTGGAGTGTATAATAGTGTCCATGGTCTGCAACGATGCTCAGGTAGGTGCTACGTGTCAAAGTATCATCCACATGGATGGTAGAACCCAGGGTTTCCCAGCAGAACATCGCCCAACGCATCACACTGCCTCTGCCGCCTCACCTTCTACCCACAATGCATCCTGGTGCCAGGTGTTGCCTGGGTAAGCGACACATGCACACCTGATGTAAAACGTGACTCACCAGACGAGGCCCCCTTCTTCCATTGCTCCGTGGTCCAGTTCTGATGCTGATCATTGGTGGTTTTGGTGGTGGGCAGTGGTCAGCACGGGCACCCTGACTGGTCTGCAGCTACACAGCAACCAAACTGTCAATTCTGACACTTTTCTATCGCAGTCAGCTTGAACCTCTTTCAGCTGTTTGAGCTTCGTCTGTTGGATCGGACCACATGGGCCAGTCTTTATTGCCCACGTGCATCAGTGAGTCTTGACTGTCCACGGCCCGGTCGCTGGTTACTGTTGCTTGGAGATGCTCTGACCCAGCTGTTTTATCGTTAGGTTTTCCTGCTTCTAACGTCAACTTTGAGGACAAAATGTTTACTTGCTCCTTAATTTATCTCACCAACTAATAGGTGCCATGATGAGGAGAGAATCAGTGTTCTTCACTTCACCTGTCAGTGGTCACAGTGTTATAAGTAATAAGAAAAATTACACATATAATCACCTGTATTTATATAGTGCTTTCCTAGTCCCTAAGGACCCCAAAGCGTTTTACACATCCAGTCATCCACACACTGGTGATGGCAGCTACATTGTAGCCACAGCCACCCTGGGGCGCACTGACAGAGGCGAGGCTGCCGGACACTGGCGCCACCGGGCCCTCTGACCACCACCAGCAGGCAACGGGTGAAGTGTCTCACCCAAGGACACAACGACCGAGACTGTCCAAGCCGGGGCTCGAACCAGCAACCTTCCGATTACAAGGCGAACTCCCAACTCTTGAGCCACGATCGCCCCGTATAACATATACAGTGGGGCAAAAAAGTATTTAGTCAGCCACCGATTGTGCAAGTTCCCCCACCTAAAATGATGACAGAGGTCAGTAATTTGCACCAGAGGTACACTTCAACTGTGAGAGACAGAATGTGAAAAGAAAAATCCATGAATCCACATGGTAGGATTTGTAAAGAATTTATTCGTAAATCAGGGTGGAAAATAAGTATTTGGTCAATAACAAAAATACAACTCAATACTTTGTAACATAACCTTTGTTGGCAATAACAGAGGTCAAACGTTTACTATAGGTCTTTACCAGGTTTGCACACACAGTAGCTGGTATTTTGGCCCATTCCTCCATGCAGATCTTCTCGAGAGCAGTGATGTTTTGGGGCTGTCGCCGAGCAACACGGACTTTCAACTCCCGCCACAGATTTTCTATGGGGTTGAGGTCTGGAGACTGGCTAGGCCACTCCAGGACTTTCAAATGCTTCTTACGGAGCCACTCCTTTGTTGCCCGGGCGGTGTGTTTTGGATCATTGTCATGTTGGAAGACCCAGCCTCGTTTCATCTTCAAAGTTCTCACTGATGGAAGGAGGTTTTGGCTCAAAATCTCACGATACATGGCCCCATTCATTCTGTCCTTAACACGGATCAGTCGTCCTGTCCCCTTGGCAGAAAAACAGCCCCATAGCATGATGTTTCCACCCCCATGCTTCACAGTAGGTATGGTGTTCTTGGGATGCAACTCAGTATTCTTCTTCCTCCAAACACGACGAGTTGAGTTTATACCAAAAAGTTCTACTTTGGTTTCATCTGACCACATGACATTCTCCCAATCCTCTGCTGTATCATCCATGTGCTCTCTGGCAAACTTCAGACGGGCCTGGACATGCACTGGCTTCAGCAGCGGAACACGTCTGGCACTGCGGGATTTGATTCCCTGCCGTTGTAGTGTGTTACTGATGGTGACCTTTGTTACTTTGGTCCCAGCTCTCTGCAGGTCATTCACCAGGTCCCCCGTGTGGTTCTGGGATCTTTGCTCACCGTTCTCATGATCATTTTGACCCCACGGGATGAGATCTTGCGTGGAGCCCCAGATCGAGGGAGATTATCAGTGGTCTTGTATGTCTTCCATTTTCTGATGATTGCTCCCACAGTTGATTTTTTCACACCAAGCTGCTTGCCTATTGTAGATTCACTCTTCCCAGTCTGGTGCAGGTCTACAATACTTTTCCTGGTGTCCTTCGAAAGCTCTTTGGTCTTGGCCATGGCGGAGTTTGGAGTCTGACTGTTTGAGGCTGTGGACAGGTGTCTTTTATACAGATGATGAGTTCAAACAGGTGCCATTCATACAGGTAACGAGTGGGGGACAGAAAAGCTTCTTACAGAAGACGTTACAGGTCTGTGAGAGCCAGAGATTTTCCTTGTTTGAGGTGACCAAATACTTATTTTCCACCCTGATTTACGAATAAATTCTTTACAAATCCTACCATGTGGATTCATGGATTTTTTTTTCACATTCTGTCTCTCACAGTTGAAGTGTACCTCTGGTGCAAATTACTGACCTCTGTCATCATTTTAAGTGGGGGAACTTGCACAATCGGTGGCTGACTAAATACTTTTTTGCCCCACTGTAATGACGAAACAAAGGAGAAGTGCCACATGAATCTGTTCCCTCAGCTCTACAAAGTGTTTAAATCAACTATTTTGCCCTTTTGGAGTACAGTCTAACAATGGTGGCACTAGAAGGTATGGAAGACCAACCACTCAGAATCAGAAGCATATCTTAGCTGCTGTTCCTCTTCCCTGGCTTCTTAACATCCCACTGTGACATAACATATGAATCTTTCTTACTCGACGTTGTCACTGATGTCTGTCTGCATGTACATCATCTCGATCAGTGATGTGTAGAAGAGGCTGTTTTCATTCAGGATGTCCCCAATCATCCTCAGGGCTCCACGGCTCAGATTGCCCTCCTTCACCAGATACTCCTGTGAGGACATTTCCCCCCAACAGATTACAGCTGTGATCTGTATGACATCAAGTGTCAAGGTAATTAAACCTTTACCTTCACTGTGTAGGAGTCATATTTATCCAATGTGGCACTACAGCCGATTGCCTTCACATCATCTCTCACCTGTGTGAAAATCACAATATTTACAAGACAAGATTCACACTGACATGTGCAACAAAGCAGCACATGAACAAACCTTCCAC